GGGGAAAGAAGGCTTCCCTTGCAGCAGCTGTGGGTGGATGTGGGTGGAAGTGTAGGGTGTGCTTGTGGGGCAACTTGGAGCTCCATCTCACCATGATGTTCTGCCCTGCAGGTCCTACAAAGGGGAAAGGCTTATGGGGAGAGGGGGGGTTGGGAGCTACCTCCAGTTTCCCCCTCTCAATCCCTCCCTTGCCTTGCCTTGCCTTGCCTTGCCAGCCTCCTCCTCCTCCTCTGCTCTCTTGAGAGGTCCTAACCCCAACGGAGGGGATTAGGACCTGTGCAGGAGGACATGACCCTAAAATGTAGGACAGTCTGACATTTCCTCCTGGGAAATGCAGGACTCACCCTGGGAAAGGAGGAGTCTGGTCACAAAACACACCCATTTCCAGTACATGCACGGGTTCTTTTCACTTGTGTATGAAAGTTAAAAATGTCTTTTTTTTTTTTGCTTTTAACTTAATTCCATTATTACTGTAATTACATGTGAAAAGCTTTTGTGTAATTAAGCTCTATTTTCACTTTCTTTTCGGGATGCTTCATTTCCACTTTATTGTCTCTTTAACAACGAAACTGGCCCACGTGTGATAATGTCCTTAGGATGGTACCCCTACCATCTGGAGAATCTCTCCCTTTCCAAGAGATGGTTGCACCTACCTGATTCAAGTTTACTTTATAATGAGTGATTCACCTCCCTAAAATGCTGTTTCTCTTTCAAACTCTACAAATTATAAGAAATAAAATGGTATTTAAAGAATGGCAAAAAGGAATAAAGGTGTTCATCCTGTCTTTCTCAGTCAGATCTGAGAACTTATTTTGACGCATTGACCTGATGTGGAGCAAAGATTGGTTAACCTTTAAAAATAGGAAAGTATTAAAATTAGAAAGGTTGAATGTGATGCAGCAGCTAAAAAGGCCAATGCGATTTTAGGCTGTATCAATAGAAGTATAGTGTCTAGATCAAGGGAAGTAACAGTGCCCCTGTATTCTGCTTTGGTCAGGCCTCACCTGGAATACTGTGTCCA